TATGGCTTTGATTGACTCTAATATGTTGTGTGCATAGTCCAGATAGTTTTTGATATATTTGTGGTGAATATGTTTTCGACAAATACCGAAAACCTATATCAAACTGCGCAAAAACACCGTATTTCAACTAATTTAAAATTGAATTGCGCAATCGGGATAAAACATGAGTTCTTCAAACTATGTGCTAAAATTGCTTAGTGTGTTTTCTTCAAAAGGAAAAAGAAATGCTATTATCTTATTACCGCATTAATTTTAAAAAAAGTAGAACCACCACGACGAATGTATGATAAATATCAATGGAATAAATTCAGGTGGTAGAGGCAAATAGTCATACCCCATGACCCCAGTGGTTTTGGGGTCTACTTACGATCACCTACGAGATCCCTATCCCCCCTACTATTGATGATCAACCTAGAACATATAAAAATCTTCTGTCTGGGTGATGAATTGAGATGGATTTGAGAGACCAACGATAAAAGAGAAGAAGGAAGAGTTAAAAGCTGATATATTCGATGATCCTCAAATTAGGCAGCTCATAAAAAATCCACTGTTCGCAAATTCTGTGAATAAAATAGAGAAAAATACCAGGGACTCAGAAAGAATCTACCAAGATATCAGGACTTTTGAGGGGCGATATCAGGAGAGGTGGCACGTCCACATGATGGCTGATAAATGTTGGAGCTTATGACGAAATCAGTGAGACCTTATCCACGCTCGAAAATTATATAAATGGACTTTTTTTCTAAATTATTTTTGAACAGCAATCAGAACTCAATAGTCCTATAAGCTGTTGTGCTGATTTGACTTAATACTAGTCTGTTTGACAGATGGCAACCCAATCAGTTGTCACATCTCTATATGATATATTATTATTACAATTTCTGTAATAGGGCGAGTATTTTAATTGGTGCAGCAATGCCGGGTGAGGGCTATTGTCACTTGCAAACATATTACTATCTATATTTCCAAATGAAAATCGTTGTCACTGCTGCCTGACAACAGGCTGCTCGAAGTGGGTATCGAACCCGGGACATCTGAAACAAGTCCCGTCGCTCTTAACCACTTACCTACGGGCGAGCCCATATAAAAGGACTTGAAGGCATAAAATAAAATGTTATTTTTCATTGTAATTTGAGGTAAAACTAGCACATTGATATATCTCGAAATCTAAAGCGGTTACTTTTTTCGGAATCAGTGTCTTTAAATTACTTAAAAACCAACATCACATCTCAGATTTTTTTTACTGTAACGCAGTGTTATCATCTTCTACCATATATCATTTGTAATGCAATAAAATAAATGAGTTGGTTATTTAATTGCTTTCAAATTTGTTCTTGTCGGGCGAATATGAATGCATGTCAAAAAGTAATTTGACATATAATATAAATAATATCAGTTTTCTAATGAAAGTTCAGATCATAAGAATATAATTAAGAGTATTTAATTAACCTAAAAAAGAAATAGTTTTAAGTTTGTAAAATCTTTCTCTAGTTTTGTATTATATAAAAACTTGAAAATCGTGTTTGCCGAACTTTTCATAATATTATACTGTATTGTTATAGAACGTGGAATAGGAATATGCATCATTTTACTTTCATGTGTGAAAGATATCGTTTATACATTTATTTAACCGTAAAAACTACATTTCATGATTTTTTTAGAGCTTATTAGGCCTTTTAAATTATTTTTATTTTTTGATAAACATGTCTTAATTCTAAACTACTGTCATCTATTATATTTTAATTGCTAATAACTAGCAAATATCAATAATAAGTGAAATACATTCAATGTTGATTGTAATTAATTATTTTTGTGAAAGTTTAGATTCTTACTACTTGCATGGAATTCAGTGAAACAGAACATGTTATGCAATGCTAATGTATTTCTCTTGGAAAAAAATATTTGAAGATCTTTACTCGTGATTGAAAATTCTCGCATTTATAATGCGCATTAATTAACTATATCATGAATTAAAGTTTTTGTATTGGCATTAGTTACATATATTAATTTACGAAATACTAATTCATATTTAATAATTGGAGAAATCTTACGAATGCAATACACGTGGCTTTTGTCTAATGTGTTATTTCTAGAAATGATGCACCAAACATATATATATATATATATATATATATATATATATATATATACGAGGTCTGTTCAAAAAGTTTCCGGAATTTTCGTTTTTTCAAAAAATATTTATTTATTCGTCTACATTAATGTGGTCCCCTTCAAAGTAGTCCCCCCCAGATATAATACACTTATGCCAGCGTTTTTTCCAATTTTCGAAGCACCCTTGATATTCACTTTTTGATATGTCCTTGAGCACTTTCAGCGATTTTCTTCAATCGAGGAAAACCGCCGTCCTTTCATGGGTCTCTTCAACTTTGGGAATAGGAAAAAGTCACACGGAGCCATATCTGGTGAATTTTTGCACTTTGCAACACTTTATTTAATTTTTTACGCAAAATTTAATACAAATTCTTTGACTTTTCAATTCTTCCATTGTAAAAATCGCCGAGCTCAGAAAAACACGTCGAACCTTAGCGACTACCACAGACAAAGTAAACAGTGAATATAGCTGAAAATTTCATCATACTTTAGGGGCATGTATACCAACACAATAAAAAAAATTTTTTGACAATCAGACACTCCAGACCCGCGAAATTTAATTATTAGTAATTCCGGGTACTTTTTGAACAGACCATGTATATATATATATAAAATTAAAGGAAATTAAGGTATGATAATGTCATCTATTGCAATGAAATGAAAATGTATTAGAACGAAAACGTGTATTTGTTTAACATATTTTAACACTTACTTGCCACAATAATATCAGATATTTTTTTACGTGGGCCATGGTAACTTTATTAGATTAATTTAATTAAAAATGTGTCAAGGGATACTTCATGCATCGAAGAAAAAAATCGTCGAAATTCCTGGAAAAACACTATTTTTTATCATATATAACTAACATGTCCCTATATTAAAGCTTTTTTTTCGATGTGTTGTAGTCACGTCTACGTGAGCCACGTAGAACTTCTTTCTTTTCACAAAATCTACAAAATTTATGCATACCTTTTTGGGTAAATGATTTTGTATTAAAATCTTAAAATGTTTGTGAAAGTCAACTTTAGCGTGGATTAGTGGTTAGAGCTATGGGCTTCCAATCATTACAAGTTCGATATCATCCGCCTTGGACAACCTAATATCACACAGTAGTGACTTCGGTTGTCCTTGAAGATATAGATAACAAATCAGTTTGAGTCAAAAAGAGGTAGGTCAACTATTGGGTTGCTTTCTAAAGCCCCGTTATTGAGAAGTCGTCGCAAAAAGCTTATAGGACTATTAAGTTCTGATTGCTGTTAAGAATATATAAAAATGTTTGAGTTTGCCGAGTTTATAAATTAGACTTGTTTACATAATTGCATTACGTCCACATGTTGAACAATTTTATTTTTTATGCGTTTGCTGAATTATTGTGTGCTTTGTTATAAATTCATGCATAACAAGCATTTGTAAAACATCTGTTGTCAATAATTATTAAATGCTGAGTTTTGCATTGCAATATTTGTCAACAAATTGCACAATAAATTCTACTGCGTGCTCGCGTTTGTTTTATTAGCGCTGAGTATTTAGCAAATATTTAAGCTCTGGCTATGTGAATTTATTCAGTGTAAAGGTTTCTAACAATGCTGTTGCTGTATTGTTTTCATTTAGATTGTTATTGAAATGCTTTAATCTTTAATCAGAGGCCCATGCAATGACTAAGATGAATTCTTTCGCAGTGTTTTGTTGTAGATATGTTTGGTATTATTTGCACGATAATTACTACATACCTTGTTCTATGTTCATTTATTCCATACCGCTTGTTCGTGGTGTTATAATATAAATACAATTTGGCAAATTGGTTAGTCGGCAATACCTGTTGTGTTTGTCAAGAATATCATATTGTTGACTTATCATTTCATACAGGATAGCTGGTCCATATGTTACAGTACGGGATAACATATGTTAGTGTTAATATCTAATATTTATGCTTCTTTCACTTTCATTTTCATTAAAATAATTATGAAAATGTAATAATGTGCTAATTACAATACAATTACGATTCTTCGGTGACTAATAATTAAAATGTGTTTTCAAAAGTGTGTTTATTGAGCTTATGTGGTGATAATCCTCGTTGCTAAAGTCAATAGCTAACAAATTTTAAAGGCAATAGCTAACAAACTCTTATTTAAAATTATAGAGTTCTTGAAATATATGTATATATATATATATATATATATATATATATCTTCTTCTATATATATATAAAAATGAGTCGGGTTTTCCTTCCTGACGAAATAACTCCAGAACCCACGAACCGATTTCGGCAATTTTGCATTCGTTGGAAAGGTCTCGGGCTCCGCAAGGTTTATAGCTAAGAAAATTAATGGTGCATGGCATCGTGCCCTAATGCAAATTGCTGGAACTTCACGCACCGTAATTAAAAATTCGAGTAATAAAAATAATCAATAATTGTTTTAAATAATTGCAAATAGATTATCTTCTATATATATAAAAATAAGTCGGGTTTTCCTTCATGATCAATTTTTAAAAACTCTTATTCTACATAATTTTGTCATATTATAGTTATTATAGTATTTAGTGTTCCACGTCATATTGATTACATACTTCATTTTATATTATTTTATTCAACGTTTTACAATATTTAGTTGTCTCAATCAGCTTTTTTATACGAAGTACCGAAATTCGATCTCGAGAACTCTTTTGTACGAGTCGGGCACATTGCCATTATAGCCATGTTCGCCGCATATGTAATACACTGTTTTTCGTTAAAAGCTTTTTTATTTCGTTTTAAATCTGTTGCATAATCTAAAGTTCTATCATCATTAAAACTGAAAGTTTTGCGTTTGTTGGTAACATGATTTGAGATTGAAACTCATTATTGATATTGGTAATCGTATCTAATTGCTATTGTGTTTTCTTATAGAATGTCCGTTACTAGTACTACGCCGTCGACTTCTGAGCCAGCGCTGGTTGCATCAGCATTGACCGGCAGCAACGCGTCGACCAGCGGCAGCACAGTTTTACCTGCTCATCCTATTGCTGTTCATGCATTAGGCGACGGACTTTTCCTGCAGACAAAAACCGCACAGGGAATTGCTGGAGTTTTTGTCGGTCTTGCCTTGTTCCTAACTTGCTCTCAGGTTCGTAGAATTGTTATGATCTTATTTTTTGACTGTTCATCTTTGTGCATTTTATACATAAAACGAAGGAAAATTCATACGCAGTTGACCAATATTATATTTTTAAATTTAATATCACATAATTATATTTTTAGGAGACAATTTTACTACTGATAATAATAATTTGCATATTGTTTTTGTTTTAGTTTGCATAAGTCTATTTAACACAGCTTCTATTATGTATTAGCATAACTTATGAATATGAAATTTTTTTAAACTGTTACTAGCAATGAGCTTAAAAAACTTAAGCAATTCAGTTCTAGTTGTGTTTCTTTCCTATGTTTCTAGTATATAAATTTTATTGGATCAACGTTATTTGCATGCAATGTAATAAAATTCAAATAATTCCTACTGCAAATATTTATAGTATTTCATAAAAGATAACCGCATATGAATTTTCTCTGCTAAGTAAGTACACTTTATTGCATGTAGTGAGCATTGAGTGAATATAATATTGAGAATCTAGTAGATTTTTCAGTTAAAATTGTACACTAACAAGTATACGTATATCCAAAATTGAATTGAATATATAATGACATACTAACATGACATTCATAACATCAAATGTTAAAACGGCATTTAAAATGCGCATTTTAAAAGTGCAAATGTTCATAACAAACAACTCATTTATAATCGACACGGATATGCATCTGATTTCACATATCCGTAATAAATATTTTGTGCGGTATAGGTATGAACTGTAATGTTATTTTTCTTACTGAAAACGTTTTCATTAATACGATTCAAATAATAAAATACCATATTGTATTGTCACGGCCAGGTAATGAAATGGGAAAACGTAGTAGCCGCATCTAATGTTACATACATTGTTTGAAATATTTGTGACAAGCATTTCACGCTCGCTAAACACAATGTCCTTAGAGTGGCAGTGAACTAAATACCTGTTTTATTTGTTATTAATTTATGATATTGAATTACGTGCCGAAAATTTTGTGACAATTGCGGAGGAAGTTATATTGCTGTTTATATATATATCTTAAAATTTAATGTTGCGGAAATTTGCTAATACCTATGTTTTGATTCTTATTGAAATAGTGAATTTTAATTACTACTTTGAATAATCTTTTATAGTAACACCTTGTCATAAAGTTCTTATTTTATAATTTAGTTATACAAATGATGTGAATTAGCTAAATCGAAATTAAATCGTATTAATATAGTTTTTGCTTACGATTAGATGTGCGTTATATATCTACTTCTAATGTGGCAAAAATAATGTTTATGGTGGCATGGGCGGCGCATAGCATCACATATCTTATCAGTCGTTACGTTTATCTACCAGCTGTTATCAAAACACCTGGTATTGATCGAATGGGCTCAATGTGTATGGCTTCTATGGCTTTGCACAGGGTTGCTCTTAATGTATTAAAAAATACAAAACAGTCAAATTCCCGAATCGGCACAATTATTTATTATTTACTTATTTTACTTTACTTTAGTATTATAAAACTTAGATAAATTATTTATTGACAAAAAAAAATATGACACTTAATCAGTAAGCCATTTAACAACTTACTACATAGATAATATTCCACTTACATTATTACATTAGTATTAGTACATTGCTAATTTAAACACTTATTTTTTTATTCTTTTATATCCTATTCGATTCAATGTTCTATATTAATTTTTTTGCAAGTCTTTCAATATTTCACCTTCAAATTTTTGTTACGATGATCTTGAATTTAAATGTGTTTCGATATTTATAATAACTAGAAGTATATTAACCCTTTCTACTCGCGAATTCCGAGATTTATATAAATTTTGACGCCGGAGCGGCGGCATCCGAGTGGAAAGGATTAAATTAGCATATTTAGTATTCAGTTTTTTTGTACAAAGTTGGGTACCTTGACACATGCCAGTCGAGCACATTGCTATTACGGCTATGCTACCGATATTTAAAAAACTTACTTTAAATTGGTTATGCTCTTGTTTTATATATTCAATTTCAATAATAGGGCAGAATAAAACTATGGCAATGGATTACATCAATAACTTATGAAAAATTAACCCTTTGTTCTCGTTTGTCTACTACTCTTTTATCTTTTCGCTCGTATTTCTGCTTTCAGCCACCACAACATACATGCATTAATGCAGCATGCAGTAATTATAAAACATAACTTTTATACAAAAACATCTTACTAGATTTAAGTGTATTTGAAATAAGATATATTTAAATTTCACACAATATCCAAAACTTGCGTGTTATGTATTTCTGCTGCCCTATCGACAGAAATTAATTCTGAGCAGTACGATACCCATCTGCAAATTTAATTCGAGGGCAAAGTGTTCAAGGAATGCAAAACGCCAGCGTTAAAGTATTGCAAATTTATTGGGGTTTGCAATCCGTTTTTCACATTACAATGCTCTTTTATTAATCAAATCATTAATATGTAATTACTATTATTTATGTACGAGTTAAACTTGTTATGTAGTCTATTTTATTTTCTCATTATTTTTACATGAATTATCAATGAAAATATTCTGATTTTATTTTTAACACTAGAAAGACGGACGAATTGAGTATACCTACATTGCCTGAAAACAGTCAAAATGACTGCGCCGTGAAAAAAATAAATAATGCGTTTAGAAATTTGTTTAAAATTAATTTTTATTATTTCATGTACTATTTACATTTATACAAATTATCTATGAGTGCTAAAAATAAAAAAATAGTCCATCTGAAAAAAAATTCATTATTTTTACAATTCATGCAAATATAATTTGAGATCTTTTTATGAGTACATTTTCCGCAAACATGTTTGTTGCAACTTTGACAGGTATTATTAGTTTTATTATTATTACAAAGTCTTATTTGGCAAAATTTTCTTTTATTACTATTGGTATTTGCAAGATGTCTGTGGGTCATCATTTTCCTTTGATTTTTTTTGTGTTGATGTCGTGTAGTCCGCGGAAAGCTGTTCTGCCAATTCAAACAAAAACTGTTCTCTAAGGATTTGTTTTCTTTGGATTTTTATTCCTGTCGCTTCCTTGTAAAGAATCCAGGCATTTATCGCAGCCAAATCCAAAATATTGAAAAAAAATTGCAGGGATCATCTACTGGATTGGAACTGGATTTCACGGTATATTTTCTTTACCTTTGATCTGCCATGTCTTCTTTGCTGACCATAAATAAGTTTTCAATTTTTTTGCCTCATAGGCCCCACGAGCATATAAAATTCCAATAAATGCACGTATTTCCGGTAACGATTTGTCTAATCGTACCCCAAAATTCGACTGCCTTCTTCTTCTGTGCACTGTTTTATGTGTTTGATGATATAATTATCTATTATCAACGAAAATGCACTGACAAGATCACCTGTAATAATATTCTTTTTGCATAGCTTGTTGGCCCTTTCATACCCTTGAAAACACAATTAGATGATGACCTTCCTGAAGTACCACCTTCGGCAATTTTTGTCCATGCAGTACCATCGACAGCTGTTTCCGTTTCTTGAATTCTTTCATCAGTTTCTGAGCCTTTTAGCACCCTCCTGCATACACTGATAGCACTTTCATTTTCATCAGTAGTGATCACCTTCATCGCTACCCTCAGAATCAGATGATTCACGTGGAATATAATCCGATTCATCTTCAGATTATTGTGCCCAATTTTCTGCATTTGATTCTATGTCGGAACACTCTTCACTTATGTTTGTAGCTTTTGCAATAATTCACTTCTCTTCGACATTTTATTTATAAGTTCTAAAAAGTCAACTGAACGACGCGTTATACTGAAAGTACTACGTGAAAAAGACCGGTCTAATGTCAATACTTACCAAAATTCGGTTATTTTTATATAACAAATGCATTATCGCTCATTGGAGATGAATCCACGCGAGATAACGATTTGCAATAAAATAACAAAGCCGTTTGTAATGTAAAATTTCTATAGCAGTCAAAATGACTGTTTTCCGTCCATGCAGGCATAACATGTAAGAATATTGAAAATAAAAGTGAGATAAGGCAAATAATACGATTTATCTACGCATTTATATGTTGTATAAAAAGTCAGAAAATTTCACGAAGCTGCGACTTCAAATACATAGTTATTTTTATGTTTGAAAATGGAAAACAGTCAAAATGACTGCGTCCGTCTTTCTAGTGTTAAGTAAATAAACTTGAAAAGATTACGTTTAAACTATGCTGATTGTATAAGAAGTGCAACAAAGTTTTTTGTATTTATCTAGTGAAACTATCGTAATTGGATTGTTTTTCTTTCATCTATTGTTATGCTCCTGTGCGACTGCGTAACTCGAAGAAAATATATTCCGCAATGTTTTCCTCGCAGATTTAAAGAGAATTCTCAATTATTCATGAAGAGTTAGAAGTGCATTCGCCGATACACTTGCGCGTTCATCATTTCTTCGCGTGTTGCTATCAAGATAAATAAAAGCTATAATTTGTATATTTTATGGAAATATTCTGTAATGACGCAACCACTCAAAAATAATCAATTTCTTTGCTAAGTGTGTCACATATCATTTATATTTAGTTTTTTCATTGCAGCAATTTTAATAAAATATGCCAAATAGAGATAGGCCAACCTCTAAGGAAGCATCATCACAATAGTTCTTCGGACTCTTAAATTCTGATTGCTTTTCAAATAAATATTGTAAAAATATACAAAAAAATGCAATTTAAAGATATTTTTCCTATTTATAAATTCAATCGTAACTTCTTTGTAGAATAGTGATTTCAAGTCCTACCGTTTTAAACCTATTTTACATAAATAATTCACTTTCAATTTGAATTTCAAATGTAATATGTTATTCAATAATATTCAGACGAGATCGCGTTTATATTTCTATCGATATTTTAAGCGGCAAACATATTTCTGCATTTTCTCGTACTGTTATTCATACAACCACGTCTATATATTTTATTTTTCCAATTTTTTGACATATTCTATTTTAGTCATAACGCAAGCGATATCAGTC